GGAACCCTATAGGCCTATAGGGTTCCGTATAAGTTCTATAGGCCCTATAGGGAACCCTATGGGTCCTATAGAGAATCCTATAGGTCCTATAGCTGACCCTACAGGTCCTATAGGAAACCCTATAGTTTTTATAGGGAACCCTACGGGTACTATACATAACCCTTTGGGTTCTATGGGGAACCTGTAGTCCTTATGGGGAACTCTATTGGTTCTATAGGGAACCCTATAGGTTCTATAGGGGGCTCTATAGGTTCTATAGAAAACTCTATTGATCCCAAACTGAACTCTATGGGACATATAGGATCTTATAGGATTTCTTCAGGTTCCTATAGGATTCCTATATATTCCTTTAGGAATATATAGGAATCATATCAGACATTTTCGTAAGGGATACGAGAAGCCTTTGGAAGTGTTGGGACTGTACTCGCTCGAGAGAAGGTTAAGGAGGGGCGATCTCACCTTCACTACGAGGAGATTTTCGATAGAAGACACAATAAATTTGAAATATCTTCTCGAATTCACTTTCAGTCGAAGATGAGAACGAGACGGCAGTCGTCAAATACGATTCATTAATTTGCATCCAGATGTGGGAAATGCATTGCGAATTACGTGTTCCATACACTTGTGCAAAATGTTTACGGAATATTCTTCTCACACAGGTAATAATGCGTTTGGATGCAATAAGTAGCATTCCGTTCCCAGTTCCATGCCCCTTGCCCGACCGACCCGAAATTTTTGTATACAACGTGCAAGCAAATATCCCCATGCCAAGATCGTTCAGTTCCCCCGGGTGCCAGAATGTCTCACCCGTCACCGTCGTCCTTATTGGCGGAGAAACGGATACGAGATCTGATTGAAAGGTTCCGAAACTGATTTTTTTCATGACGCTGTGATAACACTTTCCTGCTACTGATGGTTATCTCCTTGAAAGTAGTTTCCTTCGGTATCTCCAGGATTTTTGCAGCGTTTCATCAGTCGCTGGAAGCATCGCTGGCATTCGTCATTTGGAAGCGCCGGGCAACGCCCACGTCGCATTTCAGTGCTGCGTTGGATGTTCTCAAATCTCCTATTATCGCTTCGAATTGCCTAAATTTTCCATAAGCCCCTAATGGGGAGAAATGTTAGCTGTAGATATGCGTTACAACACGTGGCAAAACTCGTGAGAAAAGATTTTCATTCCATTATTTTCGCAGAGGGAATGCGCATTGGTGCGTTCCGAGATTAACTTCTCTCACTCTTGCTTATGGACAAACCTCTCCTCCTCTCGTCGCTCGCAATCCACGTACCTTCGAGGGAACCGTATCCGGGAAGAAAGCTGGTCGGGGGACGATGGACGCTCCGTAGGCAGAGGAGCAGCGTCTTCTGAGTGGAGAGGAGGCAGACGCTTGTTCGTGAAGGAATCGGTGAGATTTTCTTTTTTTCTTGTGGCTGTTTTTTGGTGACGGTGATCAAAATCTACTTGTGTGCCAAGTTTCAGACTTCTAACTTCTCTGGAATATGGTTAGAATTAGCGTCAGTCAGTCAGTCCGATCGTCTATTTATATTAGCTGAAACTCCGACAGGAGACGCCGGACGTGGATCTGCCGTGTCCAGACAACATCATTCATCCGGCGCGGAGGTTTTCATGGAACTCTAACACCTGGTAAGTTACTCATTTCGTCCCCACATCAGAAGCATAAAGGCACCGAAGTTAGAAAATATCCGTCCCCGGTACGGAGCGTCCAGAGTAAGAAAATAATACTAAAATCCCCTCGGGATTCAGTGAGAGTCTCGATCAGCTTGCTTCCCGGTGTCCTGAGGCGTCACGATAGGAGGGAGAACCCCAGATCCGGTTCTCTCGAAGGTACGTAGATTGCGGGCGACGAAAGATGGTATGTCCATAAGCATGAGTGAGAGAAGCTAGTCTCGGAACGCACCGATGCGCATTCCCTCAGCAGGATTTTCTTCCATCGCGAAGGCCAACCGTTCGTGCTGGAAAAAAGCGGATGCAAGTGCCAGTGCGACGACATCGACACTTCCGCACCCATATGACAGCAGAATTACGTACAAGTTCCGGAGATTGATCGTAAATTGAAGCGGAAAAGTTGTAAACGATTAATATAGTGGCAAGAGTGGGGGCACCGAAATCAGCAGAGGGTAGATGAGAAAGTTTGAAACTGCTGAAAGTTACAGACGATGGATTCTCAAGGCACGTGGCGGAATATAATGAAATGAAAATCCCTTCTCACGAGTTTTGTAACGCAAGTTGTAACGCAAATATACGGCTAATATTTCTCCCCATTCTTTTCGAACCGCGATGCTATATGTCAGAAAGGGCTTATAGAAAATTTAGGCAATTTGAAGCGATGTAGCGTAGTTCGAAATCCTCCATATAGAGCCAGAATGAATTTGTTTATTCAAAAAATAAACCGATATAACGCCATGAATGACGAGGAGGGCCAAAAAATACCCTACCCCAAAAAAAAACTCGGAATGAAATTGCCTTTGCTATGCAAGCCATTTGCTTTCGCGAGACGCATCTTTCGTCTGCTCATGCGCATTGCACAGATGCGCTCAGCTGCGCTTCGAAATCCAACTGCCTCCCATGGTTCTTCCCACCGAGGGGAGGGACCTGCGGGCATTTTCAAGTCCCTCGCGAGTTCCCAATAGACTTCCCATCCTTAGTGCATTATTGAGTTCGAGCCGTGCTGTGGCGTGCATCCGTCGCATTCAACCGCGTCGTTCTGCATCAGTTGCCTGAACGTCTTCCACATAGAGTGCTTTTCGTGTCTTAATTTCGCTGTTCTCGAAGCGCCCAGGCAATGAATCTTCTAGGCGCGTTCCTCCTCCTTCTTCCACTGTTCGTCTTCGTCGAGGCTGGTGAGGTTTTCTTTCCAGGCTGTCTTCAGGTTTTATTTCCTATAAGACCTTTATATTTCCGTGTCCCGTTCCTATTGTGCATATATTCACTCATTCAGCTCGTACTTGGATGCATAAAAGCACGAAAACACTGCTCAGGTTGCAATTGAATTCACATTTCGAAAATCGAGTACCTTAACATCAGACCTGTAAAATCTCACTCGCCAGTGGCAAATATGTTTCGGATTCCAAAGACTGTCCCGTTTCGTATGAAGGAATAATTTCAAAATTCTGGAAATATGTGCCCGCGAAAAAAAAAATTCTCCATGCAGAGGTCCCTTCAAAGAGTGGCATTTTTTCTTATGTTTTTATTCCCCCCCCCCCCCCCATAAATATTCCAGGACCAAGTTTNGGTCCCTTCAAAAAGTGGCATTTTTTTTTTTTTTTTTTTTCCCCCCCCCCCCCCCGAATAAATATTCCAGGACCAAGTTTCACTTTTCTATCATATATAAAACATGCTAAGAACCAGCATTCAATCATTCGCGATTGTCTACGTTCTGGGTTCATGAGTTGCATCCTTTCCGTTTTCCCGTCCTATCGACTTGAGTATTTTCCCTTGAATTTCTTGATTGAAGAAAACCGTGCGGGTTCCACTCTCGTTCCAGTTTCGCAGCCGGGTTATACGTTGGAATCGACAACGTGCAAGGCCCACTACTTGAAGCTTCACAACGGAGCGGAGAGTTTCGAGGAAGCGCGGAAGCGATGCATGGAGGACGGGGGCGACCTGGTGACGGACAACCGCGGCAGGGAATGGCACTACGCCATCGCCTCTTACTTGAAGAAGAAGATCAAGGAGCCCTTCTTCGGGGTGTTGATCGGGGCGTACAGGAAGGGAAACAACTTTGTTTGGGTGGATGGTGAGGAAATCTCGTAATCTGAATAGATGGAGAAGAGTTTATATAGTGGAGGCGACTCCATTATGATTTTCTCCTTGGTTTGACCTATGATGGGCAGGGTATTTTGGAAGTAGTTTGAAGAAAGTAAGTTTGAGAGGGAAATTTTGAGAAGACTTGCTAAAAGACCTTATCCTGTGGGGATTCTTTCCGGATACTGATGTTTATCGCCTTCGAAGGAGTTCCCTTCGGCATCTTCCCAACTTTTCTTCATCCGCTGGATGCATCGCTGGTTATTTTCTTTCGAATCGCCTGAAGCGCTCGCGTCGCGTTCGTAACGCTCCTTTGATTATCCTGAAATCTCCTTCCTTTTAGCTTCCTTTTAGCACACTTCTTATCTTTGGGAACAAGTAGGAATCACCGAGAACGAAGACGTTCACAGCGAAGACGTTCCAGGCCTGGGCGTTTTCATGCTGCAAATTCCACGACCTTGCCTTCCACTTTTCTCTTTCTGTGTAGGCAACGCGCAGACGAGTGAGCGCCAGTGAAGACCAGAAGGGTGAACAGCAATTCAGATCTCACCATGAGAAAGAGAAAGAGATAAGCTGGAGAAAAACCTCATCTACTTTTCACATGGATTCCCAGTGATTTCGTCTAGTTCCATAAGCTAAAAATTGTGTACTGAAAAGTAGGAGAATTCAGAGCATCCAACGCAGCACTGAAACGCGACGCGGGCGTTGCTGGAGATGCCGAAGGGAACGATCTTCAGAAGGGAACTATCTTCTAGATACTTCGAAGGAGATAACCATCAGGAGCCGTATAGTGTCAACACAGCGTCATGAAAAAAATCAGTCTCGGAACCTTTTAATCAGACCTCGTATCCGTTTCTCCGCCCATAGGGACGACGGTGACGGGTGAGACATTCTGGCACCCGGGGGAACCCAACGATCTTGGCAGCGGGGAAGATTGCGTGCACGTTGTATACAAAAATTTCGGGTCCCTCGTGCAAGGGGCGTGGAACGGGACGTGGAACTGGGAATGGAATGATACTTATTGCATCCAAACGCAATATTATTACTTGTGTGAGAAGGCATTTCCGTAAACATTTTGCACAAGTGTATGGAACACGCAATTTGCAATGCATTTCCCACATCTGGATGCAAAATAATAAACCTTATTTGACGACTGCCGTCTCGTTCTCTTCTTCGACTGAAAGTGAATTCGGGAAGATATTTCAAATTTATTGTGTCTTTTATCGAAAATCTCCTCGTGGTGAAGGTGATGAGAAATACCAAAACGAACACGGACGGAAACGCTGGACTCTTGATGGAAGAAAGAAATGAACTAATCGGGAAGATAATCCTGTCGTAACCCTGGAAATAATTCTCTCACTTTCCCCTCGAAGTTTCCCGTGCATCCTCGCAGAGATAGTTGAGGTCGGGTTGAGTTTGAAGAAAGGTAAAACCATTGAAAATTGGTTTTCACATCACTGCATGCGGACTTTTAATGCCCGATGTCCACTAATGCGACACGTAAGTTCACGAGCTGCAGTAGCCAATAACATGTCGCCGAGGGGCTTGCTGTAGTTCCGCGAGGATATTCTCACAGAAGAGCAATCCAGTGCTCTTGCGACAAAGAAAAAAAATCGTTCTCGGCTTATTAAATTAAAACAAGAGAAAGATGTAACCCTACGAACACAAAAGGATGACTGGCCTTGGACGTGTTAGCCCTGTCGTCGATCAAACGCTCTTCTTCGTCTCGTGAAACATGTGCTGGATCCTTTTGCGATTCAGAGATGGTGGTAAGCGAAACGAGACAAGGAGGAGCACGCATCTGGCATCCCGATGAATGTCAGGTATGACACTGGGCAGACGGGGGGACAGAGCATTCCGATGAGAGAGATAAGGGACGGATTTACTGCAAGGGAGGACATCATCCCAAGGATGTTCGCGTTTCGTCCTCGCTTCCCTGCTTGGACTTCCAAGGGGGAAGGAGCGAGGAGGAGCTTAGTGCCTTGACGCCGCCTTGTTCGATGATCAGGGACCGTGAGGAATTCTCCTTTCTTACAGTTTCTCGAGTACGTGATTTAGCCCAAGATCTACTGCTGTTAAAATACAAATTTTCAGGTATAGCCCTGATCCAGAGGCTCAGACCCAAATGCACGAACCTCATTTATGGGAAATATAGGAGTGTTTCAGCTAAGGAACGCTTTCCCCCCCCGTATGAATTCATGCATTCTCAAAGTACCTTTAACTTTAAAAAATTCAGCTTTCAGACCTTCGTATCTTTCAAACACCCAATTTTTTTTTCGAGAGGAAAAAAGTAATAGCCTCATGATGAATTTCGGATGTTCGACTATTAGGTGACAGGGTGTTTTCCCCTTCATGCCGCCGGACAGTCGAAGGATTCAATACAAAATCTCGCTCTTCAAAAGTGGATATTTAACCACTCTTCTAAACACGTTCCTTGACACATACGATATCTTCATAGTGGACTCCGAAATTAATGGTGTTGCCTTTTTCCTGGAATTCCCCTCCAATGGATGTTCTTTTTCGAACTCAAGAGGACAAGGAAAGAGCCCAACAAAAAAAATCCCTTCTCTGGAACAGGGGAAGGAAGAATAAGCGTAAGAACGTAGCTTCGAGTTGACCAGGGCACGAATATTTTCCGCTCTATTTCTCTTCTTATAAATTAGTTTAAATAGGAAACAATGGAAAATTGGTTCAACTTCGTTGAAGTTGAACTTATTTTCCTATGATTCAAGGTCGGAACGGATATATTTATCGAAAGCGCGGCAGGTGACGTCAAACGTAGAACTGCCGTGTCCATGCATTATGATCAGCAGTTACATGCAACTTTAAAATTTGTTAAATTATTAATTTCGTCCCTGCCTCAGAGGCATAGGCGCCGAATTTTAAAAAATTTTGGGGGGCAAGTTCCTATTGCCCCTGAAATAACAATGACGCAGTTATTCCAGGATCCATTGGGGTAACTCAGTATTATTATGGTAGTATGACGAGCGGGGGGGGGGGGGGGGGGGGGGGGGGG